CCCATGGGATTCTTCTGAGGAGGTCTCGGAAGAGGCTAAAGTTGCCCCAGCTCGAAGGCCATGGTTGCAAGGCTATTTACAGCCCTGCTTCCTCCTCGTTGGATCCTGAACTCCACCAACTCATGGTCACTGCAGCCAAGGCTACCCCTCACCTTCACATCTCCGACAAGTCTCTCCTTATTTGTTAGTACAACGTCCAGTAGCCCACCTCTCCTCATTGACTCCTCCACAGTCTGTGTCAAAAAGTTATCATCAACACACTGCAGAAACATACAAGACTGTTTGTGCCTGTCTGTCTTGTCTTTCCAGCTGATATCAGAATGGTTGAAGTCCCTGGTGAGAACCAGAGCCCATAACCGTGAGGCTGCTTCCAGCTGTCTGTAGAAGGCATCAACAACTTCCTCATCCTGGTCAGATGGCCTATAGCAGACACCCACCACAGTGTCTCTCACGCTAGCCTGCCAGCCTGTCCTTCCTAAAGAGCACATAGCCTTCCATGGCAGCGCTCCAGTCGTGCGAGCTATCCCACCACGTCTCTGTGATTCCAATGAGATCATGATGCTGGGACCGCACACAGATCTCCAGTTCGTCCTGCTCATTCCCCATGCTTCGTTCACTGGTGTACAGGCATTTCAGGGAAGGAATTGAGCCTGCAGGTTCCCCAGGAGGGGTGAAAAAGGACCCTCTATAATCATATCTTAAATTCACTTCCACGCTCCCGCTGGACGCATTCTGACTTTGGCTGCATGACACTGATTGCCCTGTCCATGTAACATTCCCCTTCCCCCTTCTTGCTTAGTTTAAAGCCCTCCTAACCAAACTGGCCAACCTGTTGGCCAAGACATGCATGCCCCTCTTGCTGAGGTGTCGCTCATCATTCCCCACTAGCTGGTGATCTTCAAACAGTGCCCATGGTCACAGAAACCAAAACCCTATTGCCAAGACGGTTCAGCCAGTTGTTAACCTGCAGTACCTGCCTTTTCCTCCTCATATCCATTCCACTCACTGGCAAGATTGAGGAGAACACAACCTGGGCTACCAGGCCCTTGACTGCCATCCCTAGGGCTCTGAAATCTCGTTTGATGTTGTTCAAGTTCCCCATGGCATCATTAGTGCCCACATGAAGCAGCAGCAAGGGATAGTAGTCAGATACCTGGACAAGATTTGACACTCTCTCTGCGATATCCCTTGTTCGAGCCCCTGGCAGGCAACAGACCTCTCTGGACAAGGGGTCAGGTCTGCAGATTGGTGCCTCCGTGCTCGGTGGCAGGGAATCCATCCCATGACCTCCCCGACCCACAACCATCACTCCCTGCTTCTTCCGGGTGCTCCTTTTCTCCTTAATGGGAATGATCTTAAGGCCACTTGACTGCCTCACCGTGGACAACCCCCTAGATGGATCTTGGTCATTGACCTCATTTGTCCGGCCCTCAAATTCCAGGGCCTCATACCTGTTGAACGTGGTCACCTGTGGGTGTGAGGTGGGCCTGGAAAGGATTCTCCTGCCACCTCAAACAGGGATCCATTTCCATTCTTGTTCATCTCTTAATTCTGTTAATTCTGCCCGCTCCACCCTGCAGCAAGGGGGTAGTGGATCCTCAGGCTGCTTTCGGGGCTGTTCCCTGGGTGCACTTCCTGGGATGACTGCAGAGCGTGACTCCACCAATCTGTTTCTTTCTCACACTCCCTGATGCTCCTCAGCCTTTGAACCTCCTCCTTCAGCTCCACCACCAGGCTGAGCATTTGCCCACGTGCTCACACCTGAGGCAGGTGCTGTCTCTGCTACCTCCTGGTAACATGGAGAGGCCCAGACGCTCCGCACAGCTGAAGACTTGGACCACTGCACGTAAATGTGGTGGTTCAGTGTGTGTCGCCACAGTCTTCCTGGTGCTGCCTCTCTGCCGAGTAGAGACCATGGCTTCGCCAGAGTTCTCACTGAGGGAAGAGGCCTCTTCCTGAGCCAGGAGGAAACTCCCTGCACCAACAGCCGTGCTAACGACCGCCGCTCTGGCCCGGGGCTCAGCGCTGCCCGCTCAGGGATCGGGCTGGGGCTGCCTTTCACTCCCTGAACATATTATTGCTCCTCTTGAAGGCAGTGGAAGTTGTTAGAGAAGTGGCTGGGAATACAGTTGCACAAGAGCTTATGCTTTAAAAAAGTCTATATTTTACTTATTGTTGGCATATCTAAATTTGCTGGCAGTTTTGGAATCATCTGTCTCTTGCACCTGCACCAGTTCCTGATTTCTGTTCTCTGGCATTTTCCTTTCATCCCCTTACTTGTGTCAAATACTGAATTAGACGTTTTGTTGCAGACATAAATTTAATCTAGGAGAGCAGAAACCACTGATAGACTAAGTAAGAATGAATATATTCTGTTTCGGAATCCTTCCTTTTCTTTCGTTAGTGACAGTTATATATGCCATATGCCCATATCGACCTTTCTTTTGATCTTTTTCTGTAGTGGGAACATTACATTGGTTGTGATGGAAGTCCTGACCCAACAGTGCTACAGGAAATAAATACTTTCATGAGCTTGTGGCGTGAAGATCCAAATGAGGACATTCAGTTTGTGATGGAGAAGGGACAGGAAGTGCTAAATGTAAGTGTTTGTTAAAATGGCCTTCCCCAGGTTAAGGTCACTAGAACTTAATATTAATGTCCTTTGTGTTATTTTTTAAAATTTGTTTATTATCTTGTATTCCAATATCCATCTCCCCTGCCATATGCATTTTTCAAGTCTTGACCCAAATACATCAGCTCAGTGCACAGAAGTCTCATTGTGCAGCATTTGCAGCCAGTAAAGTGAAATGCAACAGAAGGGGTTCCCAAAGCGTAATCTGCCAATTGTTGGTTTGTGAGGCAGCTGTAAAAAAAATATATCATCTGATGTGTAAAAATAGGACTTTATTTTCATTCATGGCAATTTTATAGTATAGGTCAGAAAGTTAAATGGTGGTTTGTAGAAACTAGAGGTGAAAGTTGTATGCACGATGCACATTTTGTTGGGCTGCTGTGGTTCTGCATGGGACTTCCCATCCTGCGATGCTTGCTGAGTGCTCAATTGCACGTTTCACCTTCAGTATGTTGCCTTTTTCTGAGCCAACAGGGAATATACTATCATCTCCTTTCCAAAATATGTTAGCATGTAACTTCTCCCTTTCCCTTTTACACTGCAATCCAAGCATAAAGCCTGGTAGCTGCCTTCTCCCTTTGCTTCCCTCCACTCTTCTCCCTGCTGTCATTTCTTTCTCTGCAACACACATTTTCCCCTCCAACACTGAAGCAGTCACAGCTACTTCTTCTTTTGTAAAGATAGCCTCCCTTGCACCATATGGTCAGCAGACATTAGAATACATTTCATTCTATAAGATATACATTTTTGTTTCACTTCTGTTCAAAATCCAAGATGATGTCAAAAAGTATTACTGTTGGCTGTGCGCTCTTGGTCCAAAACATTGGAGCTTTTCCATCCTGCTCTGCAAGTGTTTAGTACTTAGAGCTGCAAGATCCCATGTACCAGCAGGTCCTAGTGGATGGGAACCTCCGCGCTGTTGAGGCCGACCATGTTAAAGATGAAATGTAAAAAAGTGGTAACACTGGTTATAATTCTGCCACTGCTTTGCACATCTGAAATGAGGATATAAAATACACTCTGATGCTTCCTCTTTTCCTCATCATGGCAGTTCTGCAAGTCTGTGGAGCAAGGGGAAAAGAAGTGACGTAATTTGTCTTTGCAGTGCCCTTTTCTCACAATGATCTTCAGACTTCACTTACTTAAAAAAAAATGTTTAATACTGTTCTGTGAACTGTTCACCAGGGTCTTACACGTGGTAAACTCTGTTGTCTAACTTCCTACTTCCTAGAATTTTTTTTCTCATGGTTTCTTCACTTTCTGTGTGGGTTAATCTTTATTTTCACCCTCCAGGTTATGTATGTCCATTCTTTGTACTTACGATGGCAGAAAAGCGTTCCAAATGTAGAAGTATTTTAATGTTTCCTTAATAAGCAGGTGTTCAGTCTGAAGTAGTAGTTTTAAAAGTTTTGTGAACTATTTTATCAACTGTCATCTTCATTTTGAAAGTCAAGAAGATGTTTCAAAATGCTGATTTCCCAATCATTTTATGTTATCATTCAGCCAATTTGAAACTCTAAACTTGGTCATAAACAGTCTTAAACTTGTCATTTTTTTTTTCTTCTCTTTTGCATGATGGACCCTGACTTCCTAGGGCGATTACTTTGCTAGGTAACATTTTGTGCATTTCAAGTATGTTTGTTAAGATGTTTCACAGTAGCAGTTAAAATACCTTACAGTAGCAACTGTGATCTGTTTGCTCTCTCCTGCCTGATGTTCTGAGTAAAGCAGATGAGTTAATATTTTCCCAAGATTCTGACAACTCTTGAACAATAAAAAGCAGTTTGTATAGATAATGTGAATCAAATTCTTCCATCTGTGCTGTGTTTACTAACTCAGTAATTTGTAGATCAGGAGTGAATAATAATAAAAATCCCATCAAGGGGGTTGAACTTGAGTTTTATAGGCAGTGCACCAATAAATACAGTAGTAATAAAAGACTTCTGTTCATAGATCAATGCCAAAAATTTTGGCCAACTAGAAATTCTTTAGTCCTACACAAGCATTTAGATGCTAGATATTATTGCTTAGGGGGGAGCAACGTCATCATAGTTTCAATCTTCACATTAAGGCTTGTTCTGAGCATTCAAATAATTGCTGCATGTCTCACTGTGAGATTTTCTTCTTTTATGTTTCCTAGTTAATTGAGAAGTTGCAGTTTCTTTTATTGGACACACCACCAAATGAGATAACAGAGAAAGAAAGAGTTCAGTACCAGGGAACAATTTTGGACTTGCAGAATCTTCTTCACGAGAAGTACAATGGAGCAACAGAGCGCCTGCTCAAAGTAAGCAAGAAAGATCTGCAACTTCGAAATTGTAATGCAAGCAATGTGTATAAATCAGCTACAAGTGTTTTGTTGTGGTGATTGTTTTGTTTGCCTTTTTTTTTATATTGTCACAGAGGTTAGTATTTGATTTTCTAAATCATGTGTACAGCAGATACCAGACTCATATTACTTCGATATCCCTGTTAAAATTCCCATCAGAAGGCACTTAATGTCCAATTACTGCTGATTACTGCAAGATTTGAAGAGGTTAGAAATAAGGGTAACCCATGAAATAAATTTCTGCCCTATTTAGTGATTTAATTTAGAAGATAGTTAACTGCACAGAAGTTGTGCATGTGTGGTGACTGCGGCACAGCAGTTCTTCGTTGCTCAGTTGGCGCTTGGTTTTGCTTCTGCTGGAAAGTGTTCTTGAAGGCAAGTGATTAAGGACGGTACCTTCCTTAGTCTGCCTGGTAAGGCAGTGCCTTGAAGGAGACAGTGAAAGATCCCACATTTTGGCAGTACTTTGACTAACAGAATTGATGCTTGAATTCGTATCTGTTGTGTTTTAGCACATAAACACAACATCTGACCTTGGTTTGGTGTATTTTTATTCCCATACGTGTTTTTGATTTACTCTGGACTAAATTTAAGTAAATCTCAGTAATGTAAATAAGACGGAAATTTTATTTAACCTGCAGGTTCTTTTTTTTATTTATTTTTTGTAGGCAGATGATAATATGTCTGAAGATAATGACAGTGGAAATATGCAGGTGGTCATACAGGATAAAAATATTACACTTTGTATTTGGGCAAATTTGAAGAAGAATGTAAGGTACAGCATACTAAAACTCTTATATGAAATGAAGTCTGGCTTTGTCTACCTGGGTCAAACATCTGTTTCTGGTAAACTTCTTAATACTGAATAGCATTTGTTCTATAGATTCAAAACTGATGGTTTTCATAGCAGCCCCTTGGTAAGGAAAGTGCTGGTTCCATCAGAGTTTAATTTTAAAGGAGATGCTAGAGTGTTTTATATATGTGTGTGTGTGTGTCTGTGCATGTGTGTATATATATATATATATGTATTTTTTTGGAAAGCTATAGTAGAACACTGTTACTGACAGAAGAGTCTAGTTAAATAGCAAAAGAATAAAACTTGAACAGGGAATTAACATTTCTTTGAAAGAGAAGTTTCTGTTTCTTGCTGATGTGTGAAAATAATTCCTAAGCTATTAAAGCTTTTTTTTTGCGAAGTGCTGAATGATCCTTTGCGCTCATTCCTCTGTCAAGAAAAGTTGTAGAACCAGGATGTAAATAGCCTCAAGATTTGATTCTGAATCTAGAATTATTGACTCAATTGCCATTTATCTAATATATTTTTTAATAAATTTTTGAGCAGGCATCATATTCCCACTCAGCAAATATAAGGAATAAAGCAGTGTAACGACTTTACCAGGGCCTCCTTATTCTTTTAGTGAAGGCAAATTTCCTTCCCCTGATCTTTGCTCCAGCAGCTGGAAAGCTGTGTCCTGAAGACTGTCAGAGTGATGTGCAGCATGTGCCATTTTGGTGAGGTGCTACAGCCTTTCACCCAGTTTGGGGAAGCAGCTGTAATTTGTAATCCAGAAGAGATTCTAAAGGGGGTTTAATGACAGCTATCAATACAAATGGAAAGGAAGTATTTGGTGAACATGAACTTTTTTCTTCACCTCTTTTCTCTGAGAATGTGTGTACAGTAGAAGAGAATTCAGGTGCTACTTAGTGTAGAACAACAATTTGGATACTCAACATGGTACGGAACATGGTACACACGTAAATCATGTCAATTTGACTAAATGGCTATTTTACAGGTTCAAAACCCACGTGTTTCCTGAGATAAAGCATGGATTTGATCTTCCAAAGTCGCTGGCAGTGAGCAGTGTTGCTGTGCGCATCTTTCACACTCACTACGATCACATCTCTCCGCTTTGGCTGCAATGCCAGCGTGTCCCAAAGCTGAAAGGCTCAGATTACAGTGAAGCAACTGTGGAGTCGAAAGAAGAGGTAGAAGCAGCAGCAGAAGAGGAGCAGAAGGCTGAAGGAGAGCTCAGCGCACCCATCGAGGAGGAAATGCAACTGGAGAAGCTAAAGGTAGGGAAGAAATCCTGCAAAAGCCTCTTCTGCAAAGCTGTTCCTCAAGGCTCACTTGCAGTCACAACTTCCTAGCATGTCCTGTGCCCAGGAGAGGTTGTTCTTCAACCTTTTTAGACAGGTCCTATTTTTGATAGTACTGTGCTGTACATCTTCACGGGGAGGGCCGAGAGAAATGAACAAAGATCGTCATACAAAGGTTGCTGAGAGAAGTTTTGATCAGACATTGAAATCAGCATGAGATTTAGTCACCATTTTATTGGAGTAGGATCAAGCTATGAGGAACATTAGGTGCTGTTGTAAGAGATTTCTATAAATATATTTCAGGGGTCATCCTCTGCTTCTGAGAATTGGACAGTCTCATCACTCCAGGAGTCTAATGTTAGAAAAATTTATGACATTCCAAAAAGGATTTAGAGTATTTAGTCCACCCTCATTTTGATATTACATAGCTGCTCAGTTCCTGTATGTTGAAGCCTTTGCAGTAGAGGGCTATCAAAATCCTGCTTCTGCCTGTGTGGTTCTCTTTTTTGGCCCACTTGAATGGATTGTGGTGGCATTAGGTATTGGGAGGATTGTTTGTTCGGCTTTTTTTGATTGATTTTGATGTTTCTTATCATGTGTGACCTACAGATAAATGATTCCAGTTCGCTGTCTAAAATTTCTGCAAGAATAACTGTAAATCCTCATGTGTTATCCATGTCTACAGCAATAATGTTTGTCCTCCTCCTTCCAGCCCAAACACCTTTGTAGTAAATCATTATCCGAGGTCCTATTTTAGTTAGTTCCCAATTCCTTTTTTTGGGTGAGAAAATTTTGTATTTTAGCACTTTTCACGTATATCAGTCAGTTTAGACTGCTTCAAGCTCTGTATTTTACTCTTTCTCCTTTATTTTTTGGGGTCTTACTTTATTTTCTTGGTCAGTCTTTGTGATTTTTCCTGTCCCCTGCCATGTGTGAGTAAACTCTTTTTCCCTTCTGCCTGATGCCTGTTTCAGGAGCTGCACGTTTTTCCCACTTGCCAGCTGACACACAGGGAGGGTGGGATCCCTGGATTCACATGCATGGATCACACACAGAAATGCCCTTCTTGTACTGCTGCATTGGCACAGCAGTCTCTTACCACAGAGATTGGGCAGGAAATTTAGGGTAATGCTTGGAAAATAGAAAACAACATGAGAAAGGGAATAAATGTCATGAGCAAGACATAAGCTTAGACAGGAAGCGTGATTGCTCGCATGATTTCATTATGGCTTTAAATTCAATCTGGCCTTAAGGTTTTTTTGTGCCACTCTTCTAGCTGCAAGGTCAGCATAAACCTACCTTTTGCACTCCCACAGTGCTAGAAAGGTTATAAATGCTTGCATGGTGCTTGGAGGTGGAATTTGTTGAAAAAATGGAATAGTTATTGCATGTTTATCTACATGTACTTATCCAGTTGTAAAGCAGAAGGTGATTTCTTTGCACATTGAAATCTCATAGTCCTGTACTAAAACCTTGACCCTATAGCAAGAGCTGTTGCAGCAGAAATGAAACTGTACTGTTTTCCCTTGGGCTATTGCTTTGAGAGAGGTGATACCTGTCTTTATTTTTTATTTAATTGTGTCTGTCTTTTGCTTTTTATCTAGAGTGCTACCTCATTCAAAGAAAATATTGATATAAATGAAAAGACAGAAGAGGCAACTGAGAAGAAATCAGGAATCATTGATGTACCATCACAAGGTATTGCTTAGCTGTTATATGCAGCTTTGCAAAACTGCTTATTCTAAATATTTTATTTAGGGAAACATTGTTATTAGAATGGAACAAAGACGATCAATATATTGCTGTTGTGATGGCACTTTAGTTTTGTTGACAGTTCTGTTAATGATTAAGTGGAGGGAGAGAAAACGTAGGGATAGAGACAAAGGGGATAGGAGTAGAGAGAGATAGGGAGGTGGATTTTGTCCCTGCAGCCTGAGTGTTTATGGGTGGTTGAGCCAATCTATTTCTAAATGTGCTGGTCTGTTTGGTGAAAGTGGCTTCTCTTGGAGGTAACGAATCAAATGGGCAGTATGATGAGCACTCAGGTACTGCAGCTCTTACTGGGAGTTACCTATATGCGTGCTTAAAAAAAGGTGTGTATTGAAGTACTTTACTAAAAGAGGCCCTTGTCCCACAACCTAGAACTATTGTATATATTAAATATTTCTTCCTATATTTCTATATATTATATATCAATAATATATATAGTTCTTATTTATTTCTTCAGTATTGGTGTGTCCTATCGTTTAATAAGCCTATAATTTTTCTTTTAGTACTATCATAAAATGACTTCAAATTCCTCAGCATAACTTGGCTGAACTGTGTCAGCCTCCTGCTTGTTTTAGAAGAACTATCATCTGCTGAGCACAGCCCCAGTAACCAAATCCCCAGGCTACTGCCTAGAGGCTATTGAAACAAGGTAGTTTTCAGGCGTGTATGTAAAGGACTTAGGCATCATTTTGGGGATTTACTATTTTATTTCTATAAGGCTTTGAAAATTCCCTACTCTACTATTAGCTAAAGTGCGTGTGTCCAGAAATATAATAATTTTAGTTGTATGTCTTCAAGCCTGCCTTTCTGGGCAGAGAAGGCTTCAGCAATCATGCTGTGGCTGGCAGGCTAGTCATTTGCAAACGCAATTTCAGAATGGAGTTTGAAAGCTTCCACAAATTCAGGGAAAACAGGTAGCCCCAGAGAAGAGGCAAAAAGGACCAGAGTTAGGAATGCATCGGCACAGAAAACAGCAGGAACTATTGCAGGTTCTTCTCTGAATTTAAATTTGTTGAACCAAAGTTAAAAAGTTAATTTATCTTGGAAGGCTGTAGGGGTAGTTGTTGTTGTTGTTATCTGAAGAAGCAAGATCAAGAGCAAACTGCTCTAGTAATAACATTTCCTATAACTGCAAAAGGAGCTGAGGTTGTAGTACATATGTACCTTTAGAAACCTCATTACCAAGACAAGAAATGTTTGTTTTTTTGTTGTTTTTCCAATTGTCTCGCTATCCTTTTTTGCCCTTTTCCATTAATTGTTGAAAGGCTTGTGGAAACCAGCAGGTGGTACTGACATCCTGCAGCCTGCGAAGCCCTTCGGGGCAGGTTTGCTGTGCAAATGCTAGAGACACTGGAGGTACAAAAATTCCAGTGCGTTAGTTTAAGTGCCGAGTTCACGCGGGCTCTTGTTTAGTTCAGATTCCAGCGGTGCTGGAAGAGACCAGCGAGGAAGAGGCGAAGGAGGTAACTGACGAGACCCTGGTTGACTTGCAGCAGTTTGTGCCCGTGGGGGGCGTGTACCACACGGCCGCGCTGCAGCTGCCGCCCCTGGCCAGAGAAGTCAAGAGCTGGAGGATGGTGGAGGTGAGCGAGGCGGCGCGCGGGAAACGCCGCAGCTCTTCCAACTGCAGCGCGACGGCCACCCCCTTTCTGTCTTGACAAAGGTGCTCGAAGGGGGATTGGAAGCGTATCCCTACCCCCTGGAATCAGAGGAGACGGAAGATGCTGCCCATCCACCCATAGAGATCACGCTGAGGCTGCCTGACCACGTGCTCTATTTTGAGGACCCTCTTGTAGCGCGCTGGGATCCTGCAGGTGCCAGCTTAGACCATAACTTTATCTTGAGTTTGAGTAATGGAATTTAGGTCCAAGACTGACTATTATTTCCAGACTTCAGCTGTAAAACATGGGAGTCAATTCAAGGCCAAGAGCTAGTCTAGGGACTTCAGTGTGATTTGATTTTGGTTGTGTTGTTTCTGCCTTTTATTTTTAATAATGGAATTATTGGGGCGTTTCAATGGAACTCTTAAATACTAATGGAGAAAAATCCTACACTGTAAAAGCAGGCAGCTGTAGAGTTGTGTATCACAAAATAAACTCCATTATAGTGAGGCAATACAAAGTTTGTTTTGAGTCAAATTAATTTCTATGTGCGGTAATCTTAAGTAATTTTTTTCTTAATGTACAATTTTGTAGTTATTAAAAAGGTATCTCTGATATTACATTCATGAAACAGTAGAAGACAGGTAATGGGGTGTTTGGAGTTACTACAGAGTAAAGGAGCTTGTGGACCATTGCAGGGGTAGTTGTTCTTCTCTGATTAAACAGAAGCTTCCATGTCAACATTAACCCCATCTTCAACTTAAACTTTTTATATGAGTTATGATAGGAAATTGAAAACAAGAGGAAAGAGAAAGGTTCCTTAAATGATAGTTCTTTAGTTTTGGCCAGTTATTTTTTATTGCACTATTATTTAACCTAAGCTATCTTATTAATTTCTTCCCAGCACAAGAAGCTTTAAAAATCTTTTTCCTTTTGATTTCCTATTTCCCTTTATTAAGGTCAACAGTGGCGAACAGAAGGCATCAGCAACACAGTGTATGAAAAAGAGGAGAGGAAAGTCCATTTTGAGATGGATGCCTTTTATACAATAGCACTTCTCCAGGATGCTCATCTCCATATGCCTTATCAGGCCTGGGAATTGCGCCCTACTGGTACAGATGAATTATTACTTATAGTTACTACAGCCTTTGCAGAGGTTCATATACAAGTTAAGGTACTATAAATTATTTGTTTATATAAAATTTGTGCTTTTCTAAACTAGGGCTGTAGGGCGCTGTCCTTCATTAAGAAGGTGAGATGCTTCCACAGCAGTGATTTGAGTCTCATTTTGTCCCTCTGGACAACTCGGGGAGAGCTCTCCAGTTCCAAGTGATGTAAGGAAGAGCTGTAGTGGTTTAAGTGTAGCTGTTTCCTGGGACTTGCTTAGAAGAAATGTTCTCATGTTTGTTCTGCATGAGAGATGTGGGCCAGCCCAGCAGTGCCACTTGTGACCTCCCAGAATGAAGTGACTTGTCACAAGCTCTGGGAATGCAAGTTTACTGACCATAGTGGTCAATGATGAATGCAATATCCAGAACAGCAAAGCAGCAATAAATAGGTGAGGCCTGATGCAGAAAATAGCTTTCACCACTAGCTCCTTTCCTTGCTTTGTACAACAGGATCATCAGTGCACCTTGACTTCAGTAGTGGTAGAAGAAAAGAAAGTACTTTCCCCCTTGACAGGAAAATGGATGAGTCCAGTTCACCTAACAGTAGTTTTGAAAAAGGCTGGTATAAATATTTTCCCAGCAGAGTATTCTCACAAGTATGTCTGTGTGAACAAAAAGGTAAGGCAAAGTTGGTGCTTCTCCCCACCCCCCTTCTCTCCCCTCTTCTCCCTTCTCTTTAATGGAGGCAAGTCCAGCGGCATGTTCTGGCAGCTGGTTAGAAAGCAAGCTTTCTCTTAGATTTGTACAATGCAGAAGATAAAAAGATGCATAATTTGCTCCTAACTTATATATATATTTTTTTTAAATTTCAGGCTCCCCTCGCAGAAGTTAAGGCGTATCAACAGATGGCACTTGTTGCATCAGCTTTTGCTTTCAGTTGGAGCAAATGGAATCTGGAATCAGGGGAAGAACAAATAGTGCTTAAGGTTGGTGAATTTAGTTAATTTAGTCTAAAGATAACTGACTAAAGTTAGTGTATGTTCCTTTACAGTCCTGACCTCTAGGTGTTAGTGCAGCAGTTTTAAGATTTAGTTTACATGAAAGCTGTTAAGTATTGTCTTCAGTAAAACCTCAGAACCCCCTTTTCCACTGCTGTTGCATTTACACATGGGTGAGCTACAAGAGCTTGAGCCTCAAGGACACAAATGTCAGCAACAAAGATGACAGCCAAGCTGCTAACACATAATTGACCATTCAAGAAATGAGGCTTCCCCCTCTGCTAGGGTGATAGAGCTGGATGCTGATTGTTCCTTCAGGGAAAGCCCATTTTATATGCCCTTTGAATGGCAAGCAGCTCACCAACCTCCCTAATCAGTGTCTGGAAGTTCTCTGCAATGGGGAACAAATGAAAATGTTCATATTGCAAAGAATGAGTCATCTGTTTCCATGCCTGAACTAAAAAGAATATAGTTGAAAGTTCTCTTAATTTTTAATTGTTTACTAATTACTAAGATACCCATAACTATTGCTAAGGAATTAAGAAAACAAGAAACACCCCGCACAGACACAACTTTTTTCTCATTCACTTGAATTTTTGAAGTTTTGAAAATAACTCCGCTGCTTATACATCATATGAATTTTTAGCCTAATACTTAATCTCAAGAGCAAAGACTAAAGCCTAAAGTCATGCTTTAATTGGCTGGAGCATTCATATAGATTTAGGAGTTCAAGAGCAGCACCTTATTTTGTTATACTCACATGAAGACTCATACAGGCATTTTCCATTTTCAAAATTTTTTGGGGGGCCTGTGCCCTAAGCTATGTCTTACAGACTCTTTCTTTCCTGTAATAGGTAAGTGAGCATCTTAAAGCAGAGGCTGTTGAAGATGAAGACTGGTCTCTTTACATGTTCAATGGCCAGAGAGCACAGAGGCTCAAGATCACTGAAGCTAGTGAGGCTTTTTCAGCAGAGCTAGAAGATCACACTGAATTTCACTCCACCCTCTACCATATGCTTAAAGACTTTGCCAGCAATGCAGCAATTGATAAAGTCAAAACAGCTGGCTTCCTGTTCATTGATACTGTTTATCAGCTGCTCCTTGCTACAAGAGTATTAACATACTCTTAAACAGACTCTTAAATACTGCACAAAGTCCTTTAAAACTTTATTATCAAAAGCTTTCAATAAAGTTACATTTCAAATCTTTAATCCTTTCATATTCAATACCTATAGAATAGCTTTAATGATGGAAATGCAAACATTGTTTTTTGCTAAAATGAACAAAACCCTCTTTATTCCATCATAGCTAGACCACTTAGCCCCGTTTATTGCTAGCTGTTCCAAATGACTAACTAGTTTATTCTAAGCTTGAATGAGGATTGAGACTCTTCTAGGCATCTGGAAGACAGTTATTTGTCAAGGGAGGGGGGAAGTAATCATTTCTCAATTTCAAAATCATGCTACAAAAAGAGAAGAAAAAAGCCTTAAATATTCTATCTCAGCTTCTTATACAGTCAGCCTTAGGTCAGAGAAGTTCAGTTTTACAAACTGAAACTCAGAACCTGTTATACTGGTGGTGGCCCGTTGTGTTGGAGTCCTGTATAGGGCCACAACAGTTGCTGTAGTGAAGTCCAGGAGTCCCCTGTTCCTACAGGGGCTGCATCTGCTGGTCTTTGAAGAGACAGCCCAGTGAGGAAGCTTGTGAGAGCAGCAAGCAGGACCAGGATGGAGACAGAAACCCAGAGAGTTTTGTTAGCATTGCCAAATGAGGTCTTGAGATGAGATGCCCAAGATGACATTAAGTTGCATCTGCAGAGAAAAGTCATAGTTCAGTTTTCCTTGAAAACTTGGAAGGGAAGAAAATAAAGACACCCAAACTGTCTTGCAGATCATGAAGCACTTATCATGCTTGTAAAGAAGTGCTGAAGCTGCTGCCCCTAAGATCTGTATCTTAGTCCTACAGTTAGCTACCTCCATTCTTTGTCCAACAGCAGGAAGAACTGGTACTTATCTGTGCTCTCTATTCACTGTTTTATATGTTAGCAGAAGTAGTCCTTCTAATGAGAAGAATTAGAGAAAGGCTTGAAGTACAGGCTTACAGTAGGATATTCACCCAGGATAGACAAGTTCTCAGCAGGGAAAGCATGGCCTACTGTTCTACAGTGCAGGAGCACAAGTGTAGGGGCTTCCAAGGGATACTGCTTTAGGACAGCACTCTTGCTTAAGAGAGAGATACTAGTTAGAGTAGTCTAGAGTTAGTCTTAGTGGCTACCTGACCCTCAATTTCTGCCAAAGCTGCTGAGCTTTGCAGACTTCATAAATCCCTGATCATTTTACAAGAGTTACTCTTAATATAATCTAGTAAGTCTAGCTGTTATGGCATCACAGCATTCAACAGAGCTGGCACTGGACACTAGGCTCCCACTTATTTTAACTGTGCAGTAGTTAATGCTGTCGGGGGGCTTCTCTGGCTCCTGAGATTCCTTATTCCTTATTTATTTGGTTTTTAGTACCAAAATTTTAAAGGTTCACCTTTCTCTTCCTCTGTCCATCACCACCCAGTCACTCCTTTAACTGTTAAGGGTTTGTGTGGGAAGACTTACGCTGACTCGAGACTCCATTTTGATGGACACTTCCTTTTTTCAGAGATACTTTCTTTCCTTGCTTTCTCCTCTTCTACTTCAGGAGGTGATTCTGACTCCTCATTGCTGAAAGCATCAAAAGATCTAAGACTTTCTATCAAGCATTAAATTTGATAAAAGTACACAATAACTTGACTTTGTAACATCCTCATTGCTGAAAGCATCAAAAGATCCAAGACTTTCTATCAAGCATTAAATTTGCTAAAAGTGCACAATAACTTGACTTAACGCTCATCAAGTGGTTGATAATTAACAGTTGTTAAACACATGAAAACAAAACAAATCCAAAATCCTACCACACATTTATATGTATTTTTTTTGAACTTACTTGGTTTCGAACGTTCATTCCTCATACTCTGTCCAGGAGTATGTGCTAATGAATCGCTGTAGTGAAGGACGCTTCTCATTCGGCTTTGCTCCTAGTCGTCCCCTGTCATGTTTTAAGACATTTACTTTAATTTCCAACTAGACACTTGACAGGAAACAAGAAATCTAGACACAGCCTACATATTGAAACAGGCTTTGGACCAGTACATTTCAGAGTGGTTTTCCTGTTATCTTACTTGGACTGCAAGACAGTCCATGTGTGTATGTTTATAAGTGTTGTATCATCTATTAAAAATCTATAACGTTTAGTCAGCTACTGAAGCATGTAAAGCTAATGGAAAAGGGATTGCCTAAATATTACTACACCTCAAGCAGCTTAATACAGACATAGAACAGGATTAAGTATTTTTCAGCTCAAGCTAAGACTTAAGCCAAGGAACTTTACCAACTGCTTGGTCTCCTGTTGAACTTGTCACTCCTTTCGTCTCCATCCATTTCATTTAGCTGGGCCTAAATGAGAAGTTTTACCCACGTATTACATTTGCATTATCACATGTAAACCTAGCCAGTTTTGAGAAGGCAGAATGCCTCATCGCTGTTTGGGACTCCTGACTTACCAGTGGCAACCCAACTCCTGCATTTCCAGCACTCCGAGGCAGCGGCGCGAGGCTGACTCTGCGCAGCGATGATGGTGGCTGTGCAAACAACAGGCATCACTGGCCCAGTTACTGATCACATAACATATTGGCAGTTTTGCACAAACTGAACAGAAGCCAGCTTAGGCTTAAGCTTAAGTAGTGACACATTAAAACAAACACAGCCCAAGCCGCATGCGTTTAGGCAGCTCCTTTTCAGTTCCCCCTTCCTAACAATCTAGAGGGAGTCTGGATACACGACTTCCAGGAAACATGAGCATTAAAACAAGTGAACAAATTCACACAGCAATGCTCACAGGAGTTCTCGCAGTCATTTTTGACTTGCTCCCACCTATTTTCAGCTCACTCTGCTGAGCCCACCTTCTGAAACACCCTGAGAACACCACATGTGAACAGTATTTCTTAGCCAGTACATGAAAGTGAGACCATTTTGACTTCTGGGAACATTTCAGCAGCTCTAAGTGGGACCATATGCAGTTTTCTGCTGGGGGTGGTGGTGCTGAAAATATATGCTCATGTTTGGTGAGATCAGCCCATATTTTTGAAGGAGAAAAACAACAAAAAACAAACACACACATACACACACCAAAAAAAGACAAAAACCACCTCCCCCCCCAAATCAAGCACATGCCACAAAGCACCAGGTCATGACAACACAAATAAAAGGCACAGAATTAACATTAAGTTTTGTGTTAAGTTGTAGGGTCATACCTTGAAGTTAAGAGAATTTGGTAGCTTCTTATTTGTAGATTCATCTGTGGAAAAGATCAAACATGAGAAATTGAAGAGGAGGAAATAGAAAAGCAGTGAGCATTACATGCAATTATGGGATTGACTTTGCAATGCTTTTATAAGTACTGAAAGATTTCAGAGGAAGACTTTATTTGTTGAATTGATAACATCCATGCATCATTATGCACTCTCTGCAAGGATTTATTTCTGTTGCTAAAAATATTCTACTATTATCAATTCAACCTTCTGTTAGACCATTCTCTTATAGACAGTAGCAGTTTGTAGACAAAAATAAAGGGATAGCAGCACATGATTCAAAACACCCCCAAGGGGACATTACTGGTATGTCTGCACAGTTGCTCTTTTTTTGTTTAAGATACATTCCCTTTTACCCTGCAAAGCCACAGGCACACACCATTATCTGTACTGGTATGTCTGCACAGTTGCTCTTTCTGTTTAAGATACATTCTCTGTTACCCAATACTAATACTTTTCCTGGCAAAACCACAGGCACACACCATTATCTAGAAAGCTGACCACTACCATCTGCTTAA